AAAAATGTTTTATAAGACATTCATAACGTTTATTTTTTATTATCGTTTAAAACACCGTTTTATATGAGACATTTCAATGATTTAATAATAGTATATAGTTAATACTTTTATACACCATAAAAAAGATTTCGCTAAACATTTTTTAAATGTAAGCGAATCTACGCTTAATCTACGTTTTTATTCTCGTGAAAGCTATATTTTAATGATTTTTCAATTAAGTAATTTTTAATTTTATATTTTATTTAAAAACTGTTTGTAGCTCGCTTGGATAAAAAGAGTAAGTCTTTCAAATTTATTGTATTTTCCGATAAATTTTAAAGACTTACTCTTTTTATCCAAGCGATAAATTATAATGATATATCACAATTAAAATGACGTTAAATTCTTTAGCCGTGAGCGTCATCGGTGTCAGCAAAGATGAGTTCATCGATAACGTAGCGAAGGAAATCTTGACCAAGATACCCGTGCCATATGATATTAGTAAGGTCAAGAGAAATTTCGGCGTTGGCGTGACACCGACCGCGATCGTTCTATTTCAAGAACTGGAAAGATTTAACAAGTTAATAGAAACGATTACGAGAACATTAAATCAATTGAGAAAGGTTACTAAATCTTCGAGATTTCAATCTATTAAATAGATATAATTTAATTATTTAATAACTAATTAATTACGTATAGATTCTACACAAGATGCATTTTTATTGTTTTTATTAATCTTTATGTACTACCCTTATTAAAATTCTACTTTTTCATAATAACTTTATGCAATTATTTTATTCTATATTTATATTAACAGAAGCAGTTAATAATAAAGGAGGAATTTATTTTGTCTTAGATTCATATTAATATAATAAGGAAGAGATGAGTTTCAAACTTTTTGTAATATAATATAAATTTGAAATGTAAAAAATTTTTTTAAATATGTGCAATGAGAATTTGTTTTAGGATATTGTCAATTAAGAACGCGTCTGATATCCAAAATAAAATTACAGGCCATCGCTGGCGAGATTGGAATGGACGCTGTGCTAGAGAATATTTCCATAGCACTCTATAACGGTATGCTACCTAAAGAATGGGCTAAATTGGCGCCAGACACGCGAAAAAACCTCGCCGGCTGGATGGACCATTTTCAGAAAAGGATAAACCAATACACAAACTGGGTATGATTAGGCGAAATGTTATAACATCCCTTACAGAAATTTAATTTGGTCAATTTATTACTGAAAGATAGTGATTAATTATTCATTTTTAATATTAAAAATTAAATTATATACTGAAAAAAGAGTCTAGTTAATTAGAATTCTGAATTAGAATTAAAATGGACAAATCAGAATTTCCTGGTTGAATCTATTATAATTCTAATTAAAATAACTAGGTTTCTAATTGATGGTCACAACTTTCTGGTTCTTTCATTTTCAACCAGAAATTTTTCCCATTACTAATGCAGTACTTTTAATACTCAAAATAAGTAATTAACGATTACACACCTTCCAAATAAAATTTCTGTAAAAGGTGTGCGTTAATCTCTTCGCAATTAATAATATCTACTTTCTCTTCCTGTTAGTCTGGCGCGAATGAACCCGTAGTACTGTGGTTGCCCGGATTGCATGTTCCAGAAACTTATCTGGCGGCTCTGGTGCAAATGACTTGCCGCAAGAACAATTGGCCCCTCGATCATTCCGTTATTTACACAACGGTATCCAAGTTTTTCAAGCCTGACGATGTAGAAGAAAGACCAGATGAGGCAAATCCTAACGACATTTACTTTTCGATATTAAAATTGCAACAATATTGCATTACACTCTTCTATCCGTGTTTTAAACAGGGCTGTTACGTGTACGGATTATATCTGGAAGGCGCTAGGTGGGACATCGAGGAGCATCGTTTACAAAGATCGCATCCGAAAGTTCTGTTTGAAGCACTACCAATATTAACCATAATACCTATTGAAGTTCATAGATTGAAGTTACAGGTATTTGAATTTGCCGATCTACATAGTGACATAGAAAGAAAAGTAGTAGGTATCCGGGGGCGATTGTTTCCATGCCGTCTTTACTATATTATTATTGATGTTAATCAATGGATTAACTAATTAATTATAGTTCTTTCAATTAATTAAGCAATATCTTTATTTTGCACTTTATCTCTTTTCTTTACATACAACATATATACTTGTGATTCAATTCATATTATTATCCTAGTTTCATTTTAAGATTGCGTTTCAAGATCAAAAATTAAATCGATATGCAATTTACAGAACTAAATAAATATAAATATAGATCTTTTTTTTAGCTGAACTTTTTTTTAAACGATTAATTTTTTTCTTTTTCTGTAATATAGAAAGAAAAGGTGAAAAGAACTGTGTAAGCAATTTAACTAAAAAGAACAGATCTTATAAATTCACATTAATATTATTAAACACAACAAGTTTAACTCATGTCAGACCAAATAATTTCCTATTTATTGAAATATTCATATAAAACGATTTAATTGATCATTTTCAAGTAACTGCAATTTTTGTGAAGAACTTCTAGATCGTAAAACGGATAATTCTTATTTTTACGCTTGTTACAGAATACTTTTAAAACTCCCGTATATACTACGTCGAATCGACGAAATGCTCTCGGTGCTGGTTTAGTTTTTGAGGCAAATTTGGCGACTCCAGAACATATTTCTCATTGGATACTTCAGGGTGTTTGTCTAATATTAAATACAGATTAAAGATCTTCGAGATCATGGAAAAAAGACAAGAATTGTATTCTCCAGTATATTTTATGTATAAGTAATACGTCTACTATTAATTAATAATATTCATTATAGCATAACAATGAACGGCCATTAAGCTATTTTAAACTGTCGTAATTTTAAGGATTATGTATAATTCTATAAATTTTTATCACATAATAATAAATGAGAAAAGATAAGACAGAATATCATATACAATTTTTTAATATTTATCGATCGAATATCGAAGATCAGCATAATACAAAATTACAATTTTTAGCAAAAATACATAATTATTTCGTGTAAATAATTAACATCATTTATCATCCAGTTCGCGATACTTAAGCTGCGGTAAACACATATTATAAAACGAGCTGTCGACGAAATCATCCAAGCTTTGCCACTTCACCCACTGATCGTTCTTTAAATGTTCCGCACTTTTTGCTTTTCCAACAAAGTGTGGATCTACAATTAACAAATACACATCTCTGTTTCCAACGTGTAATCCTACTATACATTTGCTAGAGCAATCCCTGTCTCCGCCCATCATGATCGGACTGCCAAATTGTTTGAAATGTCTTTTAATCTTATCCACTTGGTCAATTAATCCCTTTCCGCTTGACACGTAAATTATTTTGCTAAGAGCTTCATAAAGTTGATTTAAAACAATCGATATCTATAAAATGTTTGAAATGTCAAGTCTGTCAAATCCTCTTACATTTAAAACTTCGATACATGTTAAGGAAATTAAGCTTACTTCGAAACTTCCTATCCATTCTCTCGACCCAATAAATGTTCCGTCTTTATCCTCCACTTCGACAAGGATCTCTTGTATTTTATTAATGCTTGGAACAATTTTTTTCAAATTCTCATTATTTATGATCCATGAACAAATGGTTTGCAATGTTCTGTATCCACATCCCCAACCCTGAATAAATGTAAATGTATTTATTTTGATGATTTAATAAAATAAATAATATTAAATTTAATAAAATTACGTAAGAGAATATTAATTATGATTATATCCCAATTAATCATAATCACCCTATCATTAAAACCATCGCAACCATAGTGCCAGTATTCGTAATCTCCTTGAACTAAGAATGTTTCACCGCTATCTGGCAAGACTAAATTTTCGTGAACGTTTTTTAATAAATTGCTGGAATAATTGACGTTCATTTTTTCCACGTATTAAAAAACCTAATAAACACAATGTTTATATATATATTAATATAATTTTATA